ACATCTCTTTTGATCATTTTTTAAAATTTCATTAAAATTTAGTTTTATAAAAATGTATTTTTTATTTGAAAAATAAAAATATTACTGCAAAAATATTTTAAATCTAATGTTTATTGCAAAAGATAAAGTATATGAAAGATTTGCTGTCATCAACATAGGATGTAAGAAAACTGATAAAAGAATCTACATAAATATATTAACTAATGACTGTATATTATTTTTTCAGCTTAATGACCAATGGAAAATAATTAATATTTTTTGTTTATGAAAAGCAGGGCTTCAGGGCAAGCATGCAGCATGTCTTATTTTATTATTAGTGAAGAAGAAAAATAGAATTAAGAATAACATTACTACAAGCTTGGAATAAACCAGCAAGTTAAAAAAAAATTGAAATACAAACAAACAACAGGGCTTACTCACAGCCTTATTCTGAGAACGACGATATCGACAATCGTGAAAAATAAAAGACATTATAAACCTGCTAACGTTGCGAAAGGGGTTAAATCGATTTCTAAACAGAGATCGAAGACATTAGATCATGTTGAGAAATTGCTATTGCTTTGGATAACTGAAAAAACAGTGTGCTGGCAACAGCGTATCAAAAGCAATTATTTGCAAGAAAGCTAAAAAGATACATGCTGATCTCATGAAAAATCAAGCGGGAACTAGCCAGGAAAGCGAGGTGTTTAAAGCCAGTCATCTTTTTTTAACATGAGAATGGATTAATCATTTTTATATTATTTCTTATGGGAAAGGTTGGTTTGGTATACGTCCTACTCAGTATAAGTCCAAACACCAGAAATGAATTAAGGTTGTATACCGAAGTTTCACTGTATATTGATAAAAACTCTTAAGATATCTGCTCAATGAAGAGTGCATTGTCCAGAAATACCAAGGCTATACTATTCTCCAGATGGCATTATTAGAGACAGTGACAAACATTATTGGAAATAAAATATCCATCAAACTTAGGAATGCTTTTATAATTAATGAAGATAGACAAATAAAAGTAAAGCCTTCATACAGCATTAAGCCATGCCTTTATAACTGGTCTTTTTCGTTTGGAAAAAATAAAAACAAACAACTTCTGTGTTATTACTGTAAGAATCACTATATCCTACCACACTACAAATATTTTATTTCTTAATTCCAGAGGAAAAATTCACCAAATTTGCAATGTTAGCTCAGTGGTAACTCTGTAACTACAAAGTTCACTACAGTAGACCCCCTATAACGTGGATTCCTATAACGGAGATTCCTATAACGTAGCGAAAAAATTGCGATAGTATTCGTATAAAGACGCTAAAAGGGACTCATAAAACGTCGCCACCGACTCATGTCGTGACAGGATTGGTCGAATCTGGACCAATAGCGGACGAGCAGCTGAACTACTTTCTGCCGTACAGCGCCACACTATGGAGAGTTTAGGCGGGTAAATTGAGTTTACTATCGTCTGTACAGTATTNGAAAAAACCATTTGCAAAGACAACAAATACAGAAACACTATTTCGACAGAAATGCTAGAGACCTAACAGCATTGAATCCACATGACCGAGTGATGATCCAAATTGATAAAAGAAACTGGGAGCCTGGTGAAATAATAGAAATAGACAGATATCGACCAAGATCTTATATTGTGCGCATAGACAAAGACAGTAAATACTTCATTCGTAACCGAAGATTTTTAAGGAAGTTCGATGTGAATAGATTTAGAAACATACAGAATCATTCAGGCGAATTGTTGGATCAACCAAGTGAGGAAGAACAGGCCAGTGAACAAGGAGAAAACATGGATAGTGGTAGTGAGGAAAAGGACACAGAGAATGAGCAGTTGGAAAATCAGGAGGTGAGCGGCAATGAGGCTACAGACTTGACAACTCGATCAGGCCGGGTGATCCGTAGGCCATCGCGTTTCAAAGACTTTGTGTAAGAAAGGGAGATGTAATATGTATTGTATTAAAATGTTAAAATGTAAAATATTAGTGAGTCCGCCAGGTGGCGATCGTTGCTGATGCATCATGGGAACGGTACCTGAGCGCTCACTTTGGTTGTAACCTCGAGACAATAAACATAACAACAGGGTCAAGACACTACAGTATTAATTTGAGGTAGCGAGCATATATTTTAAATTAAATAAATTAAAAATATGATTAAAAACTGCAGCCTAGCATTGTGATAATATCACAATAAATAATTACTTGTTCATCACTTTCCTTTATTTCTACTTGATACCTCACTCTTTGTTCTTTATTCTGGAGCTTTCCTTCCTTCCAGGCCACAAGCTAGATCTATTAAGGGTGGAAGCAGATTAGTATAGGGAGATGGAACCATTAGGGTCAGTTTTTGTTCTGTTGGTTTATAGTATGTATGTTAGAAGTACTAGCCATGAAAGTAACTTGCAGGACAGGAGCCAGCAAATAAACTAAAAAACAAAAAAGGAATAGAACAAAGCATGGCTCTACAAAGAAACCTGATAAGGGACCAAAGGACAAGAGAACATCAATGATGACTGGAGATGGGAGGTCTTTATTTTGTCTCAGTTTACTATTATTTGACTGGAATATTATATACATATATATAAGGAAATGATTTACTGCTAAATACCTAATCAATAAAATTCCATATCTTACTGTTCCAAGCAAACTTTTTATCCTTACATTTTCACATGTACTTAATATCCATCTTCAAGCAAATGTGGCTTAACACCTTAGTAATAGTGACACCACTGTCTGGACTAAGTGGAAAGATGAGTAATGTTGAAATAAAGAAAAAACCTCAGGGATGTGAGGGCAAAGGGAAGTATGCACAGTGGATTATGGGGAAAAAATTTTCTCCTAGGTGTTAAGCCCCAATAGACCTAGGTCTGTTAGGCGAGGTTATAGGGTCAAGGCACAGACACATTAATTAAGGACTTTACAATTATGGTGGAATTTAAGTAATAAGGTTTAATCGTGAATATATACAAAAAAAAAAACATTAATCTATTTAAACAACATGAGGGAACATAAATCCATTAAAATTTGCAGGATGGGGAACACGTAAACTATAAGAGCGAAAGGATTGAAGATATTATTTCTCCTTTAACAAAATACACAATAATCCATGTACTGACAAAAATAATGGTTTTCGGAGGTTCTTCGATGTTTCCTGTTTAAATATTTCTACTTATTTCGTGAACAACGGGTGTATTCTCTACGATGGATTTGGATTCTGTTCTCTTCATTTGAAAGTTCACACGTGTCAGTCCCTTTCTTCTTTATCCTTACACCACGTAGTCTGTTCTCTTCATTCGAACAAGCAGGAGCCGAAGAAAAAGTTCTCTTTTGGACGGGAGTCACAATATTTATACCTCCCGCCATTGAGTGTGACGTGAATTACACGTGATGTTAGTCGCTGACCAATCAACAAGAGCGATGGGTCCCACCCGTTCATGATCCAGTATCATAAAATAAAACGGAATTTTACAATAAAACCCGATATGACACACGACATATATACATACAATAAACGGAATCAACTATACATAGTGCTTATGCACTACATAGGTATTAAATTTGTCTCATTTAGAATAGCAAGAGTCTTAGGTCCTGTTAATGTCAAAGATTAGAAGATTGTAAATCTCTAAATAGAACAATTGCCCACATAAACAGAATAAAGTTATACTACCCAAACAAGGGAGAGAAAATAAACGAAAATCCAAAAGAACTATCCTGCCAATTATCGAAGAAGATAAAGAACCCGAAAACAACACAGATATCCCTATCCTTGCTTTTACAAGATCGTACATACCTCAGGAAGGACTTTATGATCAAATGGATACTACAGGAAGTGGTGAATCTCATGAATCCGTTCTACCACCACTATGGAATAGATTGAATTCCTGTTATAATCTCAGAAGTACACCCATCCCTGATTACCAGTAACTTCATTAAGGGATGTAACTTTAAAATGTTTTGCTTAATTACACACACACATATATATCTTTATCTTTTTTTTTTTCTTTTTTTTTTCTCAACGGAGTCATATGTAGCTTACTGCCTTAATATTAGTGACACCTCCTTCCAGTCTAAGAGGAGGGACAAGTAACAACCTTTAACCACCAAAATTTAATAGTGTTAATCCCCCTAATAAATGAACCTTCCTGCAAAATTTCAGAAATTTTCCACAAAAACACAGGAGTTATTAAGCTTCAAACAGAGTGAAGAAAATTGTGCTCTCCCCACACACATCCATACATACAGAAATTACCTTTGAATCTTTTTTCATTTCTCGACATTTCAAGGTGTCCTAAATCCAAAAATGTAAAAATCTGGGACATCATTTTTTGTCAGATCACCATACCTTTTCCTCTGTTATAACAATCAGGAAAGGAAAGTAAAATACAAATAACCAAAACAAAAAACTTTATTATACACAGAAATCAGAAGCCAACTTGAGGAATAATAATTGGAAATTAACCAAAAATCCCTCATACAAATATTCAATATACAGAAACAAAGAGGAAACAAAAACCATGTGTAGGCACAACTTTGAAATCCCACAAGACCCAATAACGATAATCATGAATACACTAAGCTTACCCTAACACTTAAAATTACAATAAAAAGAAAAGGATAGTAAAAAATCACAGACAGTAGCAGAATGAGATATAGTGAGGGTCAAATCAAATGATTGCTGGATTAAATTGGGCTACATTACTGCTACTATTAATAATTAAATATTAAATAATTCGATCTAGTGGTAGGCATTGAGCACCATCTCTTATCAAAATTAATAATTACAAATTAATATTTATTAAATAATTTAGAAAATTCTGAAAGAAAAGAATCAGCCCAGAGCAAAACTTTAACTCACAACTGCAGCTTACTACTTAGATGCATTGTCAGTTAAGCTACCTAAACCTCCATCCAATCCCTTGCTTCCAGACATATTTAATTTTGATATAACATTGATGAGTAACTAGTTACTCATCATACATGTTTATATTATATACATTATTATTTGTATTAACAAAACAAAAAAAAAATTAGGGGATTGAGAAAATGTCAAGGAATCCTTGAAGGAATCAACAGTCAAAATGTTTGGACACATGTTTTAAACTATAAGAGTATAGTTATTTACCTCCCAGATTCCTCTTCTATTTTCAATTTCAATAAATCCTGATGCAAGAACACACTCTCTTTGCAAGGTTTTAAACTCCAAAGTCATGTCAAACTCTTTGCCACCTGAATGATTTAATAATAATCTTGATTCTTTCAGTCTGAAAGTCAGTGGTATTACATCAACAACAGAACATCCATGTTCTATGAGAAATATTCCGTAATGTCTGACTGCTGAATTAGCCTCATGAAGAGAAAACAAGATATTTTTTCTATTAAAATATAACTCTTTTAAACAACCAACAAACTTCTTGTGAGATCTTAATCCTGTAAAAATAAACAAATAAATAGTATTTAAGGCAATGTAACTAATAATAGAAAGTTATTAATTTTCTAATATATACTTATATACTGTAAATCTTACATATATTTTTCATATCTTTTTTTAAAAACTATAAATGTAAATATTACAAAATACAGTGGAACCCCGGTTAACGAACGTAATCCGTTCCACGAGTCTGTTCGTTAACCGAATTGTTCGTAAACCGAAGCAATTTTTCCCATAGAAATTAATGCAAATACAATTAATCCGTTCTAGCCGTCAGTATTTTTGTAATTTTATTTGTAAAATGGGTTTTCTTTAATGAAAATATAGGAAAACATGCTCATAAACAGTCAATCTAGGTTAAATTTTCGGAAAAGAGGAAAGATTTGACGGGTATAAAAACATCACATACGATCGTTAAAGTTCTAAAATGACAGATAGCGGAAACAATAGGCTAAATTATGAGCGAAAGGCTTATAGGTTTATCAACAATCTCTGATCAGAGTTGATGAACAGGTGTCAAATAAACGCTTCGGAACAAACCTTTCTCGTGACCTGATCTGGTTTCAGTTTTCACCTGGAGACAAAGAAGAAAACAATCAGGAAGCGAGGAATGGGACACAGGACTAATCGTAAGGTGAAATTCAAGAAAGAAATACTATAAAAACCCGAATCTCAAGGTCAAAACGCAGTTTTCCTAAAAATTCTATGGCGATTAATCTGTGTCGTCTTCATCTGGATTAAGCCTGAAGTCGTGCCTGCTAAAATTTGTGTTGTGTCTCGCGGACCGCTCCAGT